TGCTCTTACAGATTCTTCATGGATTTCATCACAATTAACCTGCTAAGCTACCCAGTTCCATACATAAGTAAGAAACATAATAAATCAAGTTCCTCTTGAATTATTATTTACGCTGCAGGTTTTTGAGGCTCTGTAAGGATGAAATGAGCATGCTGTGTGCGTTTGGATTGTGGTGGCTGAAATCAGGAATATGTGGCAAGCAACTTCAACCCTGGGCAATACGCGTTGTGTTTCCTTTTCTATTCTGGAGTTACATATGCCTCCGTTTGTCAGTTTGTCTTTCCCAAATCCGTAAACTTAGTTCTTGTGTAAGAATGAAAGGACCTTACTTCTGCAGAAAGTTTGTTTTTAAATCATTTGGATAAGCCTGCACTAATTTCTTGGATGCCTTAAAGCACTCCTCATTGGTTAAGGAGGAAAATCTATTTGAAAGATTACATACATACATACATACATACATGCATGCATGCATGCATACATACATACATACATACATACATACATACATACATACATAAGCCATCGCCCTTCTGTTCCTGCAAGATTTCAGTGTGTCAATGTTGTAGTACGTGGTTATGCAGAACTGACATCTGCCTTTCAGTACTTTCAGAGCATTGTACTGCCATTAGCTTGTTTCTTTCTCAAGCTTTTCAACAGTGAACTGCTTGATAATCAGTATTTGGCAGTATTTGTTTTGTGTTTTTCAAAATCTTCTCTTAAATTATTATATAAGTCCTCTATTACTGACTAGTAAAGATAGGTGCATGCATTTAAATTTACTTCTGAGCTTTGAAATTAATTTGCTCAATGAAAATATTATGAGATTATTCCACCAGACTATAGCAAGTTAACAGAGAAAGATGAGGTTTTCTGCTTCCATAAAGATTTACAGCTTCTACGTGGACACCTGCCCCTCCCCCCAGAAGAATTTATTTCAAAGGACGGCACTGAATCTACAGCTCCGGGAGAGGGACCTATCTGATCAGTGCACACAGGAGCAGATGACGGGGGAGGAGGAGAGA